TATTTTTTAGGTTATTACAGAGGAAAACGTTTAAAAAATAAAATTCACACTATATTTTAGTTAATTTCATATCCAGAATTTTTGCAGGAAGCTTGATAAGTGACACAATTTTTGGCTATCTATGAATAATTGATAAGTTATGTTCCCCTTTCACAATTCAATCCGGACATTCTCTTCTGATAGTTGTGGCTTCTTTGTCTACATCACTGGAATAGAAAAATATTGAGAAAAGATTAGGAAACAGAGAAAGAATTAATACGGAGTATCATCAAAACATAACATATAAATAAAAACAGAGGCAGAGAGGTTTGAAATAGAAGGGGCCCACGGTGAGGGAATTTACCAGATGAAGGTAAGGTAAAGGTTATTCATTTATATTGCGCAAAATACGAGAGTCTCTATGCGCAGAACAAGTGAGCAGGTGTAACTGGAAAATAAAAAAAGAAAATCCAAGCAAGCACCCAAATGCAGTATGGGGATACACCCTTGTCGCTGAACAGGGATCTATCAAAATGTACCCTGTCCAGCACCAGTTGAGTCTCGGCCATCCCAGGACTCAGGGTTCCTACGACCTCAGCCCCCATGGTTGGCTGAGGTAAGAAACTTTTCAATTATGGCACCTCTAGATGGCCAGAAATGGCACTCTGATTTTAAATTTGAATGTAATTTTCTTTTTTTTTCTCCTATTTTTTACCATTTAAAAGATTTACAGTATTATTATTATTATTATTATTATTATTATTATTATTATTATTATTATTATTATTATTATTATTATTATTATTATTACAGTCCTATATAGAATGCTCAATTACTGCTCTGTATATTCGAAATGGGGAAGTGTGCAATCGGCCACCGCCTAAATTATTCAAAAATTAATTCGAAAATGGAGAAAAAAAAGAAAATTGTATTCATATTTAAGTCGTCTCTGGCCACCTAGAGCATGGACCATTGAAGTGACATAATCATAAACCCATATATGAAAGTGCCCCCTGCATCCTCTCTATTTCGAATTTCTGGATCCGTCAGTATATAGTAGCTTTATTTGATATCGACATCACGGAAGTACACATCCATGAAGATATTAATATTATCAATATTGATAAAGACGGTGTCATTTGGGCCTAGCCCGATCACTTCCGCTGTCCTTTAAAAATAATATAGAAAATATTTCTGTCGGGCTGTAACAAGCTTCGATTAGGCCTTTTCAGGATTAAAAGTTGTGTACCAGATAATTATAGGCTCTTGTTAATAAATTGTATATTGTTAATGAAAAAACAGATACGAATCTACAATGTAAACAACGAAGAACGGAAGTTAACAAGCCCCGAGCGTTAACTGCTGTTAACGTTGTTTTTTAGCAAGCTTTTCGGGTCATTGGTGGTTTTAGCGAGTCACTTATAATGTATATATGTTGTTGAATAGAATGCAACATGTCAGTGCATGCTTCTGTCGAGGAAAATGCCTTCAATGCGGCTGCCTAACAAACGTAGTCAAAATAATAACCATAGAATGATGACAGAATTCCCATTTAACTAGTAAATTTACGATGCAAAATGTTCAAAACTGTACTCACAATGTTATTAATTGTAAAGTCTCCTTCGAAGTCCATTGAGTAATGTTTATATGTAAAACGCCACCTGGAGTAGTATAAAAAAAAACTTATTCATTATTCTTTTTCTAATGCGCCTTTAAGACGATGAGGATAATGAAGGTGATGGTGATGATGATGATGATAATGATAATAATAATAATAATAATAATAATAATAATAATAATAATAATAATAATAATAATAATAATAATAATAATAATAATAATAATAATAATAATAATAATAATAATAATAATACCAGGTGTAGGGCCTCATGCACTTAAAATATATATTGATAGGAAACTTCCACTGCAATGAACACATAATTCGGTTATATACATTGTTTAATTTTTAAAAATACACAAGAATACAAATGGACTTTTTTTTTTATCAATGTATGAAATTAGTTACAAACATAAGACTACAAAATATCAGTATTAGAACCAAGAAAACCAGCCAACTTCAAACAATAAAAATGAAATTTTCACCAATAGAGGACAGCAGACAATGACGTGTTTAATGACGAATATTTCAGTTTCTATGCATTTCTTCATATAAGAGTAATGGGGAAAATAAGTGCATGATTTCCTTTCCAATGATACCATGTTTGACTAAATTCGTCCGCCATCTTCTTTTCCAAGATGGCGGCCAGTTAACCTTCTCGAAAAAATTGGCACCAAAGTTTTTTCTTGTTTAATATAAAATTCTGAGTGGGAAAAACATTGTTGCCATAAAATTAACATGAATTGCGAACTTGAGCCTATTTTACTACATAAGCCCTTGTACTATTAAACAAAATCCCAACTGTTGCTTTAATGCACTATACCACCACACATCAGTCTGAACATTATCAATAAAATATTTTTCTAGCAACACTTATACTTAGTACTCAATGCACATATCGTATCAGGCTGTTTTCAGTTCTTTTTTGGGGTCTGAAGTTATGGGCTAAGCTTTCTGATGATCTAAAAAATAAATTCACATTGAACAGCTTTAAATACCGTCTTTGGTCTCTGTATATGGTAATTAAAACTCTTTCCCTTTCTTTCTTCTATGACTATTTGTGTCATAAACATGTATCATTCCAGAAACGTATAATATAACCGGATTGTATTTATTATAATTTTATTGGTATAACATTTCTGTGCATCAATAGTTTAGATAAAACATAAGTAAATGGTACCGATCATTTTTTTCTACTTATTTTTGTGAAAGGTGGCTAGCTACTTCTTAAAGCTGTGGGTTGTTCTTGTAGAACTTATTGTAGTCTCCTTCTATACAATATTTTTGTTTCAATTATTGTATTTATACTGCATCTTGTATTAGTGTATTTCGATTGTATGGAATTTGAATTTGATAACATTTATAATACATTGGAGATTAATTTTTTAAAGGTAAACCTCGATTATTTATTCTTAATTAATAAATTGTTCTGCATGGCATTATTAATAGAGTAGCTCAGGGAAACATTCAATTTATTGTTGTTGTAATCTATCGTCATCATGACATCATCATCATCATCATCAATCATCCTCATCATGGTCATCATCTTCACCACCATAATATATTATTCCGTTTACATTAATATTGCCTATTATAATTAATATCACCATTATTTAAAATTTTATAATTATTAATAAATAATACCACGAATGGTGGCCGAATAAATTCAAAAAAGGTCTATTATTTACACAACGTTATTATACTTACAGTAACAATTTAATTTTTATTTCTTGATATTCAATAGCATATTACTACACATGACAGCATAAATGAAAAGAAAAGAGAAACAAGCTTCTTGTAAAATCATGAAAAAAAATTTAATTAGTAATTGATCAATAGTACATTTATATATTTTTTATATATTTGTATATGTAGTTATATTATTATGTATAATATATATAATATATTAAATTTATATAAATTAGGTGTATATATTTAAAAAAAAAACTTAGAGCTAAACAGTTGAGAGTTGGTCTTTGTGTAACATATAAATGATCAAACATCATTTTGTATCTTTTCTCCTGACAAAAATACACCATCGAAATCAAATAAATTCAGTTAATAAGAATTTAATGTAAATAAATTTCCTTTTACAATCCATTTCAAAATAGATTTTTCCTTTCTTAAAAAAAAAAAAGGATAATAATAATAAATTATATAAATCTGAATTTTTTTAACCACCTTTTATTTTCATAAAATAACAACATCTATTTGACTTTACAGTGACATACCTCAATGATACAACATCAATACAAGCCATCACTGCAAAATCAAATAAAAATTTATATATAAATATGTATTTCTGATTATTTTGTTTCTATAATAACAACATTTATTTGATTCTACAATTACATTCCTCAACATCAACAAATCAAATTCAAAAACGTTTATGACAAACAAACAGATAAATATGTATTTATGATTCCTTTTGTTGTCGTATAACAACATTCATCTGATTTTACAATAATTCGTCAATAATACATTCTCACTAATATAATTTAAATACATTTCCTTTTACAAGCCATTTTAAAAAGATTTATTCTTTTTTTTTCTTAAAAAATAGGATAAACTATAAAAATCTGATTTTAAAAAAAAAACAACATTTATTTCATTTCACGGTGACACTTCTCAATGATATACCAACCACGAGACATCACTGCAAAATCGAAAAATTAATAAAAAATCAAGATTTCCATTCTATAAAAGATAAATATGTATTTAGGCCTATGCTTTCTTTCTCGAAAATACTAACGTCAATATTTTTCAAAATACTGAATGTGTTATGACTAATATATATTGGGATGGGAGACATCTTTAATTGTGGAGAAGTACAGTATCTCTATACAAAAGTTGTTTTCGTGTGATAATACTGAATGTTATGACAAATATATATATATATCAAATAATTAGTCTTCATGTTACTCCCTTACGGCAATTACCGGGTACATAATGCATTACGTCATAAAAGGGGATTCCCCTTTATATTCTTGTTGCAGTTTCTCAATGAGCTGCCGAGCGGGGCTCAGATATTTTATTTTGAATCAACGTCGAAGTCTATTACTTTACTCATCTTGATGGTTTGTATCAAACAACGGATTTCTCATGTTAAAATCAAGTCAGATACTTTTTAAAATCAATTTTGCAACTAGGACGCCGCTTACGCATAAACGCCGCATTGAAAACGACTGAATTATATAAGGGCTGCGACCCATATTTGGTTATCTACGATATATAAAAACAAATAATTCTAAGGTAAAAATGATATAACGTCATTTAATTCAAGTAGTTACAATGGTGGATTCAGGAATTATAGAGAGGGTCCAGGAAGGAATTTTCACCGACGGCGGAGGGTTTAGACCCTGTCTCTTATACACATCTAGATGTGTATAAGAGACAGATATTATATTAAAAACACAAGGTTTTTTTATTGCTACATTTTTACAACCTGCAGCGTAACTATCTTTGATTGCAGCATTTGTACGGCCGACATTGTGATTTGGCGGCATAAAGATATATCAATATGCTTCAGCCTTAAGTTGTGCATTGATAACAAACCTAAAGCAGAATTGGTTATCAGACCTAGGTTTGCGATATGTAGTGATGTAAGCCGACTCAATTTCTTAGCCACAAACGCTAGGCCTGTGTCAGTTATTTGATGGCAATGGCTAACGTCTAAATACTGTAACCCGGGGTTATTTACAGCAAGTGCTTGAAGTCCCTTATCAGTTAGATAGATGCACATTTTGATACTCAGCCACTGAAGATCTCTGAATTTCATACATCTAACAAAGCTAAAATCTGTAAGAGATTTACATGCGGTCAAATCTAAGACACGCAACTTTTCCAGACTCATTAAATTAAAATCAACTGTATCTGCTTTGGAAAATATCTCATCCGATGTAAGGTACTTAGTCCTCGACTCAAAACTTGGTCCTTTGAAAAAACCGATATTGCTATGGGATTGCGTAAACCCACTCACATATAATTCAGAATCGGTTTCATCATTTTCGGAAGACTGTACGCTAATGCCAAGCAATCCCAGATCTGTGATTTCTTGGCACCATGCCAGTTTAAGGACTGTTAGCTGATGCAGATGTTTCACTATTGAGTGGAGACTTCTATCAGTCAAATAAAGACAGGATGAAAAGTCTACTTCTTGGAGCTGTGGGTAGTTTTCGGCAAGACAACATACAAATTTATCCGTTACTACAGTACATGAAGTCATGTGAATTGACGTTAAGCTACCCAGGGTACCCATATCAAAAGCTTTGATCAACCATTTTGGGTCCCCTTGATAACATTCCGATATCTCGAAATGTTCAAGTTTACTTAAGCTATTCAAATGCTGAAGAGCACTGGCCGATATAAGTCGACACTTATTTAATTTTAAACTACACAGTTCAACTGTGCAACTGCACAGATCAACAACACAAGGGTTGCTAATGAGATGGCAGCCACTGAGATCAAGATCGTGTAAGCCAGGTTGCTTCTTAACAAACCCTGTCACGCCTGGATCACTAACCTGCTTACAGTTCTGTAAAATAAATTTACGTAGTTTTAGGTTGGACACCGAGGCTAGTAAACCAAGTGCGGGGTTTGTTATATTTGTGTGACTTAAATCGAGCATTACTATCCGACTAGCATTTAGCGTTAAATAGTTTAGAATATTTCTAAAACTGAGTACAGTTACAGATAGATTTGTAGATATGCTTTCGTAATTAAAAAGGATATTGCAGGATGCAAGTGAAAGGCCTTTTAACTTTGGAATGCAAGAAACTATACGAGCAAACAAAGCATCTGACAAATAACGATTTGTGTTTAAATGTAAGTAGCGAACATTCCTGAGTGATTCGTTTCCAAGCATCAAGGCTTCTTTTGTTTCAAACAATTTGCCAGACATGCAGAGGTTATTACAAGCTGATAAATTGAGCTCTGTTATATTACTGCAAAATGTTAGCATACTCAGAAAACTGTTCTCAGTTACACCAGAACCTTTTAATGAAACAGTCTGCAGTCCTTCGCTAAAACTTTCACATATATCTATCAGAGCCTTTTTTGAGTTAACAGAACAGTCAACCAGAGAGAGGATTAGATGAGGGGTCTTCCTTCTCGGTAAATCTATCAGCGGTCTGTCTGTGCACAATGGTGTTTCAAGCCTCACGGAAATGTTCTTATGGAGACCAGGATGTAGCGATGCATAATACCACTGTTTACATACTAAAGCCGCTTCTTGTCTGTCTCCAAAGTTCAGAAATTCAAAGAGGTAGGACAGGATCTTGAAAAGAAACATAAGATCGTTAGAATTATTATGAATACTGCCTTGTCAGCAAGAGGCCCCAGGTTTCGAATCCTGCTAGAGATATTATTTTCACAAACTGTTAAAAACTTTTTTATTAATGGGCTATGTCTGGTTTTTTTATAACATCATTTGTTTCTAAAATTGAGCTCTGTTAATATATCATATAATAATAATAATAATAATAATAATAATAATAATAATAATAATAATAATAATAATAATAATAATAATAATAATAATAATAATGTCATCTTATTAGGCGCACGTATCCATCTCATGGTAGAGCTGCTTGCGGTGCTGTTTTCCACCTTTCTGTTTTTGCAGAGTGTGGATGTAGCCTTTTTTCTGCATTATTAATTATTAATATACATGCATGTATCATGCTTGCTACACTATCTGGCTTTTTCTACCCCCACTCATTAGCCACTGAGGAAGGACTAGTCCTGTCTGAAAGCTCTACTGTAATCTATTTCTGACTGTTTATTTGCATTTTCTTTAGCTGCTGCTTATGAGATTAGATGTGTATAAGAGACAGGTACTGAACGCGCCCTCCGCCAGGTACCTACTGGCATGCACAGACGGCGTACCAAAGGGATCCTGCAGTTGTTTTAATATTATTGTATACTGTATATATACAAAGTGATGAGGCTGCATGGGTGACAACTTACAATATCCACAAATAATCACATATAACAATCACTTGTCAATAAGTTACAGATAAAAAAAAAAATCAATTCAATGATTTACAGATGTCCATGTACATTAATCGTAAATTTACTGACAGAAACTTAAGGGTATGTAAAGAATATAAGAGTTGTATCACTATCACTATAATGCCTGTTGGTTGTGGGGAAATTTTCTCCAACACATAAGTCCAACTATATGTATGTGGCAAAGAAGTTGGGGCAGCTGATGATGTTTACATTATCCTCCTGACTATATTTGCATTCTTGTACCAGTACTTTTAACTATGTAAATATTACAGTAACAAGGATATGTATAGACAATGAACAATGTATAGATTAAAATAAAACTGATGTCAGTGTACTAAATATTAAGCATAAAGGCTACTGTATATTAGGCTGAGGTTATGCAATTTTAGTATGTAGTAAATATCATACTATCGGGTTGCATAAGAGGTACAAATGTAGCATTACCTAACTCTTCATGATTCATATCACCATGACTGAACCAAGTGATCCCATGACCTCACTGATTCTGGGTGATAACATTAGCATGCAGACAAACTATGGCATCAGATAAGGCTAGACTTCTTTATACCTTGTTTAGAGAACCTGCCGCTAACCAATAACAATGTTTTCCAAAGAAAAATTAAATTAAATTTTTAGCCAATTAGCGCACCCACCACCACAAAAAAGATGTAGATTTAATAAGGTAGAGAAATTGTTTTTTTGGTTAGACAAGACTTTTTTTATACCTTGTTTCGCAGACTTATTTTTTTCAAAGATCGTTAGAGGAGGGGGGGGGGGAAATAAATATAAAATTACATTTTCCTATTTAGCAAAATGGTTTTGATAGAAATGTCCAGATGGAGGAGAAAGTAAAAATAAAATTCTATTGTTGAATATAAACAGTGTAGTAAAAGAGAAACAGCATCCTGGAAATCATATCCTTTGTGTTTGGCTTAAACTTTTGAAGCATTCTGAAGTACTGCTGTACTCTTCTAAGTCAAATAAACTTAAACTTAAACTTATACGGTAGTATAAATGACAACGGTCACAAGTTTTGCTTAAAAAAACAGTCTTTTTTAATGAATTTTTAATAATAAAAAAAAAAAATCAAAACGATTACGTCCTGTGTACTGGCCAAGAAGATTACTGGCTAAGCAGAGACAGCTTACCGTACTACCAGGCTGCCTAGCCATGATATGGGGCTACCTACTGGCCCTAGGTTGATTCATCCAGGGATGTGTTTTTAGTTTAGAGATAGGGAGGCCCTCTCTCTATTTCTGGCCTAGGCTAGGCCTAGGCCCTTGCTACACATAGCGACTCACTGACTGAGTGGTCGCAAGAATGTTTGTTATGACTCAAGTGCGATAAGAATTAAATAGCCTAGGCCTATATCATTCACAAAAACTTACCTCTGTCGGTAAATCAGCCATGTTGATTAAATTAATTTATAATTATGAATGAATTGTATGCACCATCCCGTCAACTTTAGCTCGTTCCCATGAGATAACATGGATCCTGCTGGGTTAGTCGATTGTGTTTCTAGGGGTGTTGCATGTACAGTATTACATAATGCGCGCTGTTTGCTGCATTTGCCCAGTTTTAAAAATATGTAAAAGAAAATCATTTTGATAGCGTCAATAGGCAATAAACAGCGCTTACATCTTTATGGAAATTACATTGTTCTCTCAATCTCAATCTCAAAAAGTTCGCTTAAATACAAATAATTTGGACCCATTTTCTTAAAAGTTGACCCATTTTACCCAAAAATATGAAATGATGTGGACCCACTAATGAGGCCTAATGATAATTAATAGACAAATGGGTTTCAACTGGTTTAACTGGTATCAATCAACGGGTCCAATTGGTATGTTCAATGGGTGCATTGGTTTCAACTGGTCCAATTGGTTACAGAATGGGGCTCCAAGTTTCAACTGGTCTAATTGGTACTATTAATTAATTGGTATTATTATTAATTTTAAATAAATTTATTTAAATTTTTACCCATTTTAAGCTAAATGTGAGAGATCTGGACCAATTTTTCAAAAGTGGACTCATTTTATGCAATAAAACTGCATAATTTAGACCCGTTTATAAAAATGTGGACCCATTAGAAAAATTGTTTGGGACTGTATACATCATGCACTATCCTACGGCGACGAACTGCTCAGTCTTTTAAATCTGAAGTTTGTTGAAATCCATTAACTAAACAGTATTACTCATATGAAACGGTGGGTCAAAAGAGAGAAAAGATTTAAAAATTAACAAATAGGCTACCCAGACTGCGAGATTATTCCTCTGATACTCATGTTGTAAAACCAATAGGAATGATGATGTAGTATCACATAACCAATGGACCGATTATCAATCAATCAATCAATCAACCAACCAATCGATCAAATTATTTGAATGCAACGCAGAATCTAAAACAGCGGCAAATATCCGTTGATAGTGTTAATCTTAGCTCCAGTTCATCTTTAAGACAAAATCTGTTCTGTCTCTAGTTTTTTACAATTAAATGTATCAGACAGAACTCGTGGACACTCTCTTACGGTTGCTAAAGGAAATTTCCCATGTGGGCGTAAGAAGGGTTTCCTTCTTGGCAATCGCATTGTAGACAATTGAAATGTATGAGGCGCCATCTGTTCACTTATTATTTAGCAAAAAATTACATGGTTTTTTATGTTATATATTTATATAATATTTTATGTAATTTATATATTATATTAAACAATATGCAAAATATTATATATTATATAAATATTATATATTATATAAAATATTATATATTATATAAAAAATTATATATTATATGAAATATTATACATTATATAAAATATTATATAAATATATAACGTAAAAAACCATGTAATGTTTTGCTAAATAATAAGTGAACAGATGGCGCCTCATATGAATGCACTCCCAAATGAAGTTGTAACAGCTCCCTCTCTCTATGCGTTCGAGAATAGACTAGATAAATTATTATGAAAGGATCAACCAGTTAAGTTTGACATAAAACAAGAATCGAGAATTCCAGGATCAACAATTTGGATCTGGACATAGAGGACATTAGTCCTGCGTGCGTCCAGTACATCACCTAAGTAAACATAAGTAAGTAAGACAACCAGATACAAACATAAAATTATTGACACTCGAGAGGTAGGAATACCGTACGTTTATGAACAAAGTGTAACAATTTTACATACAGATTAGCAATGGTAAATATTCGGGAAAATTGTTCTCGGAACTCTTAACTCCAGGTTAATCAGAGACATTGGCAGTTTTCGCCGCACGACGTTAACCTTAACGTTAACGGATGACGTCATAATTTATTCATCTTGCGTTGCGGAGTATGTTAATTTCAGGATTTTACGTGCTCGACGTACGTTAGTTACGGGTTTGCGCATGCGTATTTCGAGTTCTTTACAAAAGGGGCGGCGAAAACTACCTATTGAACTAGAGCTGACCAGGAAATTTCAAATTGCATTTCTAGGGGGAAATTAGATGACGCCCATGACTGATTTTAATTTGTAAAACTTTTTTTTTTATTAGTCCGCTGTTTTATTCGATTTCCTTCTGTAGCTATGAAAACGCCACTTGAGAATCAACAACATCAATTTCCCTCAATTACGGTAGGCCTACTTAAATTGTATCAGTGTTGACACATAAATACACCACAGGATATCATAGCAAGCGACGATTAGGGCATACAAAGGCCAGTAGGCCCAATACGCATTGGTAGAAACTATAATATTAATTGCAATGGTCTTCCATTTTCATAATACACTACAATTTCTCTATTATACCGTATGTTTTTGATAGTTGTTACAGTATACTGCGGGCATACACGGTACCAACGCTCGTTTTTTCTATGTTTCTACGTCAGCTCGTCAGTGTTCTAATATAGACAATGGGTCGTGTCTCATATTATTTGTTATATTTTTATTATTCATTATTTTCACTTGACTCGCATAAATAATTTTGTTTCAGAGAACATTTATATGCACTTGTACTTCGCAGCACTTCACTTGCAATTTGCAATTTCTAGTATTAATGTCTTGTTTTACTGTTCATATACCAAACGTAACACATCGTTTCTCTCCGTTTCCGCAAAAAAAACTAGTTGAAATATCCTCCTTGGTTCAATCAAAGGTTAATTGCTTATCATATTTATAATAATGTGCATTTGAGCGGGGGCGATACCATTTTAGTGCGACTTCTTTCTTTCACCCCGTTGCGATAATAGAATGTGCCAATTTATCTCTACTCCCTTCCTGATGTGGTGTATAGTGTGAAGACATTACGGAATTTATAGGCTTTAACTACGAATGATGCACGTACATGTTGTAGTGGCTAAGATCTTAGTTTGCAGGTAGGTATGTAATCCAGTTTTACATTGTTTTGTTTTTTTGTTTTTTTTAAGAGAAAAAGATATAAAATTAAATGTATTCATGAAATGCAAGACAGTTTGCTTTGTCGGTAACCTATGGTTTACGCTTCCTCCTCCTCCCCAGCTGCTGCTGCGATTCAAAATGCTATCGATTACCTCCATTAAGGGAGCCCACGTTTTTGTGTTGGTCCTTAAATTATCATTAAATTATAAAATGCATTACATTGTAATATAATTTTAGGCCTATATACTGTACATGGATGTACTTAATAAATGCTCGACTCCGACGGTCCAAGGTCTACTAAACCCTTCATCTTCTGTCAGTTATCGTAACATAACACTATTGACCTTTTAGGACTTTGTGTCTATAGTCACTGTATAGCGGGACTCGACTGGAAGCTGTGAATTGACGATGCAGGAGTGTTTTATCTAAAAGTCAATCATCGATCGGGGGGTGGCACCAGGGGAGCTCTCCCACCCCACCCTGTCGGGGAGAAAAACCACAATTCGTCGGGGAGAAAAAGGATTGTTATAATTATAGTCAATATAAACAACTCCCAGGTAACGACTCCCGGTAAACATAACGCGTTATATTTGTTAACAAAACCTCGCCTTCTTTATAAACAGGGTGGTTTGACAACAATTTATTTTATTTATAGTATTTACAAATACAAATTTTATACGAAATAATCATGTGTTGGTAGAGAAAGGTATAAAAGATACGTTTTAATTGCTAAGTGTAATAGGAGTGTATTAGCATCTGCAAAAATGCGGGGTGTTTCTCGAAGTTTGATCACCAATTAGAAGGTTAACATTGTGTTGAAAGTCTGATTGGCAATTTGTACATTGATAAGGAATCGAATTAGAAGGACCTCGAAATTGGAGGGTGAATATTTTTTCTTCACTCTATGCTCTGGAAAAGCCGCTGAACGGAGTTTTATATCGTTGTGTGTGACCTCAGATACAATAGGCCTATCCCTGGGCGAGACTTTACAGAAAGGTCCATTGCACGATCTTGTACTATATTTGAACAGGCGGGTCAAGGCTGCCCATAATATTTTGCAATTCCCTATTGTTTTTTATGCCAGCAAATGTTGCATTTAAGGAAGTCTAATTTCAATGAGTGGTGTACGACTAGAATATAAACAGCAAGTGAGAAAAGAGCAAACGATATAAAATTGAATGCGTCATGTTTTGTATACCAAAACGTGCATGCCTCTTTGACATACCGTAGCAGTAGACTTTGTTTAATGATTTAAGCTAAGCTAATGATATATCTCCGTTTTCATCCGTTGCAAAATATGCTAATGTTCAGCATGAATGGTAGAAACGAATGAAGTAAAATTATGCTTTATGATAACTATTTGTTGATTGAACCACATAGGCTTAAAATAATATTATATTTATGCCAGTATGCTTAAACTTTGAAATAAGTAGGGTTACAGCACAATAATCGTGCCCGCTGATTTTAGGAGAGTGAATTTTTTCGGTCATCCGTGCAAAACCTGCTAAAGAAGTTTAGGACACCATCTGTCTTTTGAATATAAAGTACCATAAACAATTCCAATTTTCCTGAAGTTCCAGTATAGGCCTTAAATAGGCCTAAAGTGTATTATTATTAGACCTACCAAATAAATCAATATGGCCTCTATATAAAGTTAAAGGGTTCGAGATTTATTCCCACCCGGTTGAAACCCTCCACTGATCGGGCTATCGTTCTTGAATGAGACTTCGCGTCAGATCATCTTTTTCCGCAACACATTTTATCCGAGCGAATTTTGTCGAAGAAAAATACCCATGGTGTTATTTTCCCTGCGGAAAAATCCAATATATGTTTGTTGGCGCTCTCAAATGAGCGTAGTTGGCTATCTTGTTCTATTTATTCTCTTTGGTTAAAATCAAAAAGTTCCATTGCGCTCTATGCTATGCATCAAGTTCGATGCGCTGCGCTAACAATGAGATGCGCTGATATTTTGATATTAGAACCAAGAACATGATTTAGAACGTTAAGGTCGCACATTTAGGACGGTTTCGTTTGTGGCGAGTCTCACTGGTAAACTTTCGGTACTGTATACATAATTAAATTGATTAAATTGCAGTGCTCATATCAAGGTCAGTCGACTAAATACCATACCACACAACATATGTTTATGTCAATTGACCTCGATTAAACTTGTATACGAGCATGCTCAGTCCTAACAACGAATTGGCTTATTAGCAAAGAAAATCGGTTCTTCGTATAGAAATCGGGTGCGATAACAAATCCGGCACGCTGGTGCTGTTATTGATTTGGCAAGGAAATTATTACAGTTGACGAACAAGGCCTTTTGCCAACAGTAGTTAACTTTTATTTCTAGTCATTGTTGTTTTTTTAATTTTATTGACAAAAACAATAAGCGTATCTATCTTCAATTTGTTAACTCTCATTGATATAACATACAGACACTGAAACCGTATGTAATTACCAGAGAGACATGATTATACAGTGGAACCAGACAACAGGCAACATCGCATACAGATAGTGGTAAATTGCAATTAATAGTTTTGAGACCAGGCAACAAGTGATTAGAATCCAGTTTTCGGACACGAAAGGAGTTGGATTGAACAGACGACTTTTCCGACAAGTAAAACAGCAATATGTCGTTTCGAGATTCTGTTTCTGCAGCCGTCGTTAGAAATTTAAGCTTATGTGTTGCATTATCCTCGTTTTCATGCTGCTTTATATTGTGGGGATTCGGTTACACATACACTCTTCTGTTCGTACCGATACAGGACGAATTTGATTCTACTACGACCGCAACAGGTAAGTTTTTTTTACCATAAGAATTATAAAATCACTGTCATTTTATGTTCATTTTATTTCTGTTCTGGAGTGCTTTTTATTTATAGAGGAGATTCGTCACGCGTTAAAATACTCTAAAGCTTTGTCTACACTATCACATTTTATGTGACAAAAAATTGTGATGTGCCCATCTATGGTACCATGACGTCATGTCACATATCAAATTGTATCAAAAAAGGTTGAACGTGTTCCATCACATTTTATGTAACGCATTTTTTATGAAATTTGATAGTGTAGACAAAGCTTAAAGGTACGTAGGCCTACATCTGAAGAAGGCCATCTGAAGAAGAAGCACTGGGCGAAAGCGAATGGGCAAAATGTTGGCCACACACTGGCCGCCCGGAACTTCACATCTACGGACGCTACTTGAGTAGAATGTATAAAATTAAGAAATAAATTTGTATTATGTATTTATATAGCCTATATTGTAGGCCTTAATTCCATTAAGATGCTCGCAATACATACGGCGCAGTTGCGTATCTAGAAGTCTTGAAATGGGAGTGCTGATGGGGAGGGGGCAAGGGGAAGTGGGGAGTTGATGATCAGTTGAGGGGCGCTATATAAATCCAGAATTATTATTATTATTATTTTTTAGGTGATTTTAACTACTTGCAAGTGAATTTTTTTGGGACGACTGAGGGAGGGGGGAGTAATTTTTGGAGAGGCGTACCCCCTAAATACCCCACTGATACGACGTTTTTACTAGGAATTCTCAACCTGGGATTAGAACTACGTTCATGCCTACCACAAATGCGATGTACACACACGTTGTTAGTGGAGAACGCGTGACGAGACCCTGCATTATGCATTATATGGGGCGGAATAAACAATGCTGGACTTTGACCACGTATTACAATGCTGATGGTAGATAACGCATATCTTCCCATGCATCTTATTACTAACATTAGAGGTCTGTCAATATAGAGAGGTTTCGTTCTCCAACGCAGACATTCATGTCGGTCAATTCGGAGGGACCTCCCGAGCGTCGGAGACTGCGCAGTACAACGACTGCACTGAAAACACTGTTGTAAACCAAGATTATACTGAGATAATCATAATAATGTGCATTAAAACAAGAATAATATTTGTTTTTTTTCCCCTGAAATAACAATCGAATAATTTTTCCATCGTTTTCTAGTAAGGACATAATGGTACATAATGTAGCGCGTATGTTTGGAGCGTCAAATCAATTTAACATAGAATACTAATTTTTACCTACTAAACGTATGGCAAAACCTAATTTATGGTATGGTATTGAATTCCCAGATGAAAAAAGTTGCTTACCCGCGCAGAGATAGTATGAGCATACTGACTCATCTCTGTTTAACGGTAAATCGCTTCAAAACCCAAGGGCTTTCCATTTTTGATCTGTTTTCATATCCTCTAAAGCCTCATTTGCCGGGGTTTTTTTAATATTTTTCTTTACCAGAATGAAAATATGCGTGGACTTTTCAAGGGTAATCATAATCTCACTTCCCTCTTCTATCTATTTTCACAAATCAAATTTTATAAACCAGTTAAGACTAAATTAATAGTCTATGATATAGAGTTTCAGTCTATCTGTAGTTATTAATGCATTCAAGTTACGGAATCATCTAACTGTTTTTCTTTAATTTCTAGCAACATCGATGATCAAGCTACGAACGTTCGTTGACACGAGTTATGGCCTGTAAACGGACAACGCTGGCGATTCCACGACTTTGATTCTAGGCTTTAACCAGATGAACTTTGGCTACCACAGATTAAATCATCGCTTCATTTCTTTTCCCCAAATCTCATTTTCAGTAGACAGTATAGACTACACGGCTCAACCAACTTGAAGTTTCACCACAATTTTGAGTAAAATTGTACAATATACAAGAAGAATGATAAGGTGACCTTATAACCTTATACATATTCATTCCCCCCCCCCCAAAAAAAATAGCGGAAGTTTCGAAGATCGTGAATGACCTCACCGTGGTTTCGCTCTCCAAGACAGCGCTCTGGGCATAAATTACCATTATTGACTTCTAAAAACCAAATTGAAGTTTATGTTGCATCTAGTTTTCTTCATAATAAACCATATTTCAAACAGGAGATATGACCATACAGTATTGCTAGTAAATTTACATAGTATCTACATGATGGATTCAACTATGTATTAATTAAGCATGTAATTATTCATTGGCTTCTTCTACAGAGAGGTTTTCCAGTTTTTAATGATTTACAGTTTATATCCACATAACACTTTATTAACACAGAAATATAAAAAAGATAATAATAATAATAATATTAATAATAATAATAGTATATAATAATAATTATGTTAATAATAATAATAATTAACATTGATAGGCCTATTTGATATTATGATGTAGCTGGGCATTTAATTATGGTGATTAATTATAAAAATAATAACAGTAAAGGATTAACATTGTTCTGTGTATATCATTTAATTTCTTCAATTTCAAACACCTGACAGTTGACTTTCGTGTAATATTTGAATTTTAAATGAATATTATGTACCCAATGTTGTCTTCTAATGGGATTAAATTCTGGCCGAATTTTGGCCGATATCGAAAAAAAAATTGGCCGAATTTGGCCGTGTGTTTGGCTGTGAAGCCTATCTGGCAACCCAGGTGTGTGCTCATGTTTGAATTATATTTCCTTGCAGGTTGGGTGGGATCTGCGTACTACGGAATAGGCTCCACGATGGCCATTATGATCGGCCCATTAGCCAAGCGATTCAAGTACAGTACCATCTTCCTAGCTGGTTTCTTGCTAGCAGGAATAAGTCTAATGGTGTCCTCGTTCGTTCAATCTATCCACGCCTTCTTCGTCACGTACGGGGTGTTTTATGCATTGGGTACCTGCATTGGATACTATATAACGATGGATCTGCTGAAGATGCACTATGCAAATTCTCCTTA